GGGGGGGGGGAAGTGCTTTAGCTACAGCTCCTTCAATGAGCTTTAGTTAAAGCACCCCCCCCTGCCATTTTGAAGCATGGGATGGTCAGAGCTGCTTTAATTAAAGCATCCCAGCCCTGGAGCGTATGAAAAACACCCAAGGAGTGCAATTTTTGAACTACAGATCAGGCCGCAAATGTGGGGCTTTCTGTATGAGAGAGTAGGCTGGGATTCTTCTCCTTTCCCTTCCTCTGTGCTCTCTCTTTTGAGGGCAAGACACTTTTCCCTCAACATGGCACAGTAACCTCAATCATTTTGATGTAAAGTGTCTAAAGGCCACACACACAGGTAGCTGGAAGAGCACTTGCTTTAAGAGCAAAAGGATGTGAGCCTTTGGATCCCCATCCCTTTATTTTAAAACAACTTCATCTGGTAGTGACAGTTCGTAGGGTTCAAGGACCCTTCCAAGAAGACACTGCTTGCCAGTCAGAGCAGACAACTGCTTTGCATTTAGTGTTGTGCCTCAAGGTGTGACCTACAATTCTCAGCCTGGGGGCCAAATATGGCCTCTGGAGCAATGTCATCTGACCCACAGGACTCCTCATGGGCCCAAAAATTTGGCAGTGGAGGAGTAGTGACAGCATTGTAGGCACATATGTATAGGCAGCATTATTGGTGTATATATTATGCCAATTTGGGCATACAGGGGCAGGTCAAGGCTATGCAGGGACTGATCTGGACCATGGATTGACCCCACACACCACCTAGCTGGCCCATGGGGCCATAAGGTTGAGCACCATTGCTTTATAGGAAAGCCAATGCTTCACCATTATAGAGCCAGCCAGTTATTTAATATTATGTGCACATTAGTGAAAAGGTTACAGATCCTTCATGATCATGTCAGTGAAGGCAATCTTCTTTGCTCATAAAGGGCAGTTTATATGTGGCACGGGGGTTTAATTCTCCCTACACTGAAGCAGTGTTTTTTTAAAAACACTGCTTCAATTTAGGGCAAAGTAAACCCCCATGTCATGTACACCTGTGTCAGAGACTGATCCTTACCTGCCTTTCCAGCAGCGGGGAGGGGAGAGCGAGCTGCTGGCAGGAAACTGGTTCTTCCAACCGCAGCATTGTCAGCGCCCCCCCAGGCAGCACCCTCCTGCAAACACCCAGCCTGGACTGTCCCAGGGGGCACTGCAGCTGTGGAGGGAAGCACTGGGGCCCCATGCAGCTCAGGCAGGCAGGCTCCAGTGGGGAGGAAAAAAATAAATAAATAAAAGATCAGGCTTTTTTTTCCCCTTCTGTGGAGCCTGCCTTCCTAGGCTGCTGCTGGGCTGCCTGCAGAGCCCTTGAGCTGCATGGGGCCCAGTGCTTCCCTCCACGGCTGTAGGGTTTAGAAACTAAAACTCCTCAGAGGTGTTTTACTTGGCAGTGCCCCAAAGTCATTTGCTGCATCCCAAAGTCATTTAAGGCACATTATGCCACCAGAAGTGCTACAGCGGCTGGAATTAACATGGAATATGCCAACGAATGTGCAAACAGCAATGCCCTTAAAGCGGTACAAAAGGCATTTAACCCACTTCAAAGTGTTGTCTACAAATGGGAAGTTATTAACTTGTTCAGTAAAAATTAAATCTTGTGCTTGGTGTAAAAGGTAGGAGCGCAGGCAAGACAGACAGGAGAGGATGCCATAATTTACAGCTGTGGCACTGACATGCAGATCAGGAGGCACCCCCCCGCCTCCCAGGGCATGTGCAGCAGCAGGAGCCACCATCTCCTCCCCATGCCCCCTGGACAAGCCGCTTACTGCTCTGTCCCATGCCTCGCCTTGTTCCGGCAGTGCAGGGCCTATACCAGCCCCAGTCCCCTCCCCTTCCCCCACAGACCTACCTCTAAGTTTTTCACATTCCCAAAGTGTAGACTTTAAGAACACCACTAAAAATCATGAGGGTTGGCAATACTGTCCAGGTTTATCATCTTTAACTCCTCCCCAGCCATACTCAGCAGCCTGTGGGGGCCTTGCCACCCTGGTCCCACCCATCCCCCACCCTCCAGCTTTTCGGCCACTGCCTAAGGGAAGGGAGGGCTTGCTTTAGCCCCCTGGCTTCTAGCCTGAGCCACTGCAGGCACGTGTTTGTATTTCCAAAATCAAAAGTGAATGTCTATTCCCTTGCTTCTCAGTTCAATCTACACAGGTTAGACTGACCTGCAAAGATTAAATCAGTTCAGGCTTGGGCTTTTTGAATGTCTGTACTTAGCCTTTAAGATTTCTTGCATCTAACTTTTGTCAGTATGACTTATCTCTGAAGTGCTAGAATGAGTGACTTGATATATTTAGGGAAAGGATCATTTCCATCAATGTGGAAATTATTGTCCATGTTGAAACAGTGATAGTTAAAATAATGGAGGAATAGCATCCCTACATCCATGTCCTGTAAAGTAATTGACCAAACATGCTATTATTTGTTAAGTTGTAAATCACTGCTTGTTACCTGTTTGAAACTATAGGAAGTATAACATTCAAGTTATGTGCAAATTTTATTGGTAATAATTAAAGATGCCAATTGACAGCTTTGGAGGTTTAAGTCTTATTGATTAATTTAGTAGACAGAATGATAAGCTATAGAGCAGGACTTTCTAACTTCTAAGTATTCAGGGACCAAATATCCTGCAGCAGGCACCAGCAAGGGTCACACACCCACAGGCTGCACTAGGGTGTGCCACAGGCCTCCTGGTCTGCATACAATGCAGGCATCCCCCTCCTACTGTAGTATGCAAGGGGTCAAAAAACAACAACCTGTGAGGGACAAAACCCCCCAAAAATGGAGCAGTACATGCTCAGGCAGTGCATGCTGCTGAAAAGCGGAGCTGGCCAGCCTCCGCCTAGCAGGATTGCTGCAGCTGCAGCCCTGGGGAGACCTCAGGACTCCAGGTAAGGCTACTAGGGCCAACACAGTGCTAGCCCCAGGCCCCCCTACTACCCCCAGGGCAAGGTGCACCACTGCTACTTGTTCCAAGGGAACCAAACGTCCGTGCTTATCTGGATGTGCCTAAAAAGGGGAGGTCATAGTGCATTGTTGACAGGCTGAGCTGCTTGGAGAGTACAAAAAGATCTAAACTATCTAACTACAAGAACGTTTGCTAAATATTAGCCACAGGTTCTGATATCTGAATATATTTCTTGAGGTAAAACAGATGACAGGAAATAAGCTACTTCAAGTTACTGATGCATCTTTATCATTGTTGTAAAATATTTTTTGGGTTTACAAATCAATCAAAAACACTATTCACTAGCAGGAAAAATTCTTACCAGCACAAGGTGTTGGGGCACATGTAAGTAACCCTTGATTATTGGAATCCCATTAAAGTTTTATATAATTTCACTTTTCAACATTAAAGTACAATATTACATTATACTTTTGTATAAATTACATTTTGCAAGAGAAATTTGGGTAGGATCTAGAATAAAGTATTCACGCAAAAAACATATCCCAAAGTAGTAATAAATGGTTTGGGCTGAAGGACTACTGTTTGACAGGGGAGAGAGTCCTAACTGCTTAGGACGTGATATCTTGACCAGATTTGATAAAGCAGTTGAGTGGTCTGCAAAGTGCATATAGGTTAGGACTGTAATCTCTCAAGTGTCAACATCAGGATTTAAAAAGCTAAAAGAATCAGTGAATAGCATATTGAAATTAATTCAATAAAAGGTTAAGCTTTTCAAAGATTCATAGATGTAGGGTCGGAAGGAACCTTGTAGATCTTCTAGTCTGACCCCTGCCCTGGGCAGGAGAGAAAACTGGGCTCAAATGACCCCAGCTAGGTAAACGTCAAGCCTCCTCTTAAAAGACCCCCAAGGTAGGAGCCAGCACCACTTCCCTTGGAAGTTGGTTCCAGATCCTACCCACCCTGAATGTGAAGTAGTGCCTTCTAATGTCTAGTCTAAACTTACTCTCTAACAACTTATGGCCGTTATTCCTCGTTACTCCAGGAGGCACTCGGTGGAACAAGGTCTCTCCCAATCCCCGCTGGTCCCCACTAGTAAGTTTATAGACGGCCACCAGGTCCCCACTCAGCCTTCTCTTGCGAAGGCTGAACAGGCTAAGGTCCTGTAGCCTCTCCTCATAGGGTCTGCTCTGCTGTCCCTGGATCATGCGAGTGGACCTCCTTTGGACCTTCTCAATGCTGTCCACATCCCTCCTGAAGTGCGGTGCCCAGAACAGGACGCAGTACTCCAGCTGCGGTCTGACCAGTGTCGCATAGAGGGGGAAGATCACCTCCTTGGCCCTGCTTGTGATGCATCTGTGGATGCTTGACAAGGTACGGTTAACCCTACTGACCGTGTCCTCGCATTGTCAGCCCATGTTAATCTTGGAGTTGATAATGACTCCAAGATCTTTCTGCCACTGTGCTTTTGAGAAGGGAGTTCCCCAGCCTATAGGTATGCTGCTGGTTCCTACTGCCTAAGTGCAGCACCCTGCACTTGTCAGTGTTGAATCCCATCCTATTTTCATTTGCCCACCCCTGTAACCTGTCCAGGTCCCGCTGTAATCTGTCCTTCCCTTCTAGCGTGCCCACCTCACCCCAACTCTTGGTGTCTGCAAATTTAAACAGGGTGCTTTTCACCCTGTCGTCCAAGTTGCTAATAAAGAAATTGAACAGTGCGGGTCCAAGGACCAAGCCCTGGGAGACTCCACTGCCCACATCCCTCCAGGTCGAATATGACCCATCCACCACCACCCTCTGAGTACAACCCCTCAGCCAATTTGCAATCCATCTGACTGTGTAGGCATCAATGCCACAGTCGCCTAGCTTTTTAAATGAGAATGGGGTGGGAGACAGTGTCAAAGGCCTTCCTGAAGTCCAAAAAGACTACATCCACTGCGACACCTGCGTCCAATGCTTTTGTGACCTGATCGTAGAAGGCAATCAGGTTGGTCTGACAGGACCTGCCCCTAATGAAACCATGCTGGTTGCCTTTGAGCATCATCCCTGCTGCTGGCCCATCACAGATGTGCTCCTTGATAATCATCTCAAAGAGCTTCCCTAGGATTGAAGTAAGACTAATGGGCCTATAGTTGCCCAGGTCCTCCCTCTTCCCTTTTTTAAAGATGGGGACCACATTGGCCTTCTTCCAGTCGTCCGGCACCTGGCCAGAGCACCACGAGTGCTCGTAAAGCCATGCCAGGGGCCCCGCGATAACCCGTGCCAATTCCCTCAACACCCTGGGGTGGAGAGCATCTGAACCCGCTGATCTGAACACATCCAGCCCCTCCAGAAGTTCCCTAACTTGGTCCTCCCTGACCCTAGGCCTGGCGGAGTTTCTCCTGAGTCCATCCTGAATCTCGTTAGGGGAGTCCTGGTCCCTGCACAAGAAAACAGAGGCAAAGAAATTGTTAAAGAGGTCTGCTTTCTCCTCTGGTGCAACCACCAGATTGCCAACCATATCCTGCAGGGGCCCCACATTACCTGGTGCCTTCTTCATACTCCCTATGTATTTAAAAAAGGACTTTTTGTTATCCTTGATCCTAGCCCTAGTTCCGTATCTGCCTTAGTTTTCCTAACAGCCCCCCTACAGACCCGAGCAGTGGAGGTATACTCCTCTTTGGTGATAGTCCCTCCCTTCCACTGGGTGTACGCCTCCTTTTTGGCAATCAGGCATTCATGAATGCCCTTGGTGAGCCAGGGGGGCTTTTGGGCACTCTTGCCCCCTTTGCTTCTCATTGGGATTATCACTCCTTGGGCTCTGAGTATCGTCTCCTTAAGGAGCAACCACTCATATTGGGCACCCAGTTCCCCTACTCTCCAGGACCCCAGTGCCTCTCCCACTAATCTCAACTCATTGAAGTTGGCCCTCTTGAAGTCAAGGGCTACTGCCTTGCTGCAGGCCCTTGACACCCTGCGCTGGATGTTGAATTCCAGCACGCGATGATCGCTATTACCCAGGTGGTCAAGGACCTGGAGTCCCCTCACCAGGTCGTCGCCTGTGGTTAGGACCAGGTCCAGCAGGGCATTCCCCCCAGTGGGACTGTGCACCTTCTGGGTTAAGTGGAGGTCCTGTATTTCAGCAAGGAACCTTCGTGAGCAGTCAGACCTGGCTGACTCCCAGCAGATGTCCGGGTGATTTAGATCACCCATGACAACTACATTCCTTGCCTTAAGTGCCTCCGCAATCAGACCTGAGAATTCATGGTCCAGCTCTTCTCCTTGGTTGGGAGGTCTGTAGTAGACCCCCACTATTAAGTCCCTTTCCCATGACCCCCCTGTATCCTCACCCAGAGCACTTCAGCCTGCCCCTCCTCAGACCCCATCCTGCTGGTTGAGCATGTGTATTGCTCTTTGACGTAGAGTGCCACACCCCTGCCTTTCCTCCCTGTTCTGTCCCGCCTGTATAGTCTATAGCTCCTAATGTTAACTGCTCAGTTGTGGGATGAATTCCACCAGATTTCTGTGAGCCCTACTATGTCCGAGTTTGAACTAGCTAACCGGAGGGCGAGTTCCTCCTGCTTATTCCCCATACTATGAGCATTGGTGTAGAGGCATTTAAGGCCTTGAATTGGTACGTGTGCCACCCCCCAATTCCCAGGACTATCTGGACCCCTGTTGCTTACCTGGGTACTCCTTGTGCACGTCACCTGTCTTGTTTGGGAGGTGTCCTCAAGTTCTCCTGTGGCTCCATCCCCCAGCAAAGCTAGTTTAAAGCATGCTGCACAAGATCAGCCAACCTGGAAGAGAAGACATGCTTGCCTTTAGGAGAGAGGTGTAGCCCCTCCCACCCAAGCAAGTCCCCTGTACGAAAGTATGGGTCGTTATCCAGGAACCCGAGGCCTGCCTGGGTCTTTGAACTTGTTGGAAATGGTGTTGAAATAATTTGCTTTAAAAAAAATAATAGAAATGTCCCAGGCTGGAGTATTTATTATAACATACTGGTTGGATATTATTTTGTGACTAAGAATCACAAGTCACCAGCTGTATGGGTGACAAAGAGAGAAAATAAATAAATAAAAAAAAAAACCCCTCTGTGTCCCTGGAAAGCATACTGAAACCAGCATGCACTGGGCCTGTGGCTGCATGGTAGTGGCAGCAAGTGTTCTGTGGTGCTCCAAAAAGCCTCTCTTGCCACATTTTCCTTGCACACAATTTCCCAGAAATTCTTTACATAGAAACTGACTGCCTGTTCATATCCTCAGCCTTCACTTCAAAAAGGAATCAAGGGATTGCACAGGCACATAAATAGAAAAAGAACAGGCTCCTCAATCAGCAAGTTAGTATAAATAGAGTAATTCTGTTATGTCAACTACTTAAGATTACACAGAAGGTGTAAAGCTGTGGTTCTCAACCCTTTTAGAGTGGAAGCACCCGCAAGCAGGGCAAACAGTACTCTGGCATGTATCAGCTGATACATTTCAAGCAAACCCAAGGAAGTGATTCTTCTCCTTTATTCAGGATTGGTGAGACCCCAGCTGGAGTAGTGCATCCAGTTCTGGGTGCCACTTCAACAAGGACGTGGAAAAGCTTGAGAGGATCCAGAGAAGAGCCACCTGTATGATCAGAGACTTGCAAGGAAAGCCGTATGAGGAAAAGCTGAGCGACTTGGGCCACTTCAGCCTAAAAAAGAAGACTGAGGGGAGTTGGTAGCAGCTTACCACTAAATCAGGGCAATACATCAGGGGCTCAGTCAACTCTTCACCAGGGCACCCATGGGGAAAACCAGGAGTAATGGCCACAAACTCCTGGAAGACCGTTTCAGGCTTAACACTAAGAAAAACTTCTTCAGTCAGGGTGTCCAGACTGTGGAATAAATTCCCTCCAAAGGTGGTGCAGTCACCTACCCTGGAAATCTTTGAGAGGAGACTGGATGGGCATCTTGGTGGGGTCACCTGACTCTAGCTGTTTTTCCTGCCTAGTGCAGTGGGGCTGGATCCAATGATCTTGCAAGGTCCCTTCCAGCCCCTTACAATCTATGAACTTCCCATTTAAAAAAAAAAAAAAAATGAATTTATTACAGTGCCTACCTCCTTGTAGAGGGGCCAAGCAGTAGTGACAAAGTTACAGCCAGGCAGGGATAAGCCTGATCCTGCACTTGTCTCTTCTTCCTCCTCATGGCAACTCTCAAAAGATCTAGCAGCACCCCAGTTGAGAATCATGGGTCTAAAGCTGTGGTTATCAACCAGTTGATCTCGATCCACCGGTAGATCTCAGAGCCCCTTGGAGTCAATCTGAGGCTGGAGTGGGGGGCTGTGCGCCTGTGTGCATGCACAGGCGCACCCAGCCCAGCAGGTCAGATCATGGGGGAGGGAAGGGGCGGGGGCTAGATTGAGGCGGTGAGGGACAATACCTTAGAGGCAGGAGCAGGGGTAAGTTCAGTGGGGCCCTGGCCAAGTGGGACTTACCTGCTGGGGAGGTGCACTCCCCACAATTTTTTCTCCCTCAATCTGCCCCCTCTCTTCGCCTACCCACAGACTTACCTGCTGGGCGGGGGAAAGTGGAGGGGGCAGCGGTGACAGCGATGCACAGTAGATCTTGGGTTGTTTTTAAATGTCAAAGGTGATCTCCTACTTAAAAAGGCTGGAGACCACTGGTCTAAAGTTTTTTTTTTTAACATTCTGTCAATCTACAGGTGAAACAGGGAGACTAATACAAAATAACAAACAAGAGAGACTAAAATAACTGGTAATTGTGCTTTCAGGTGATGTCGGAGGTCTTTATTGAGATATAGCACAGATACACTTCTATAATAAACCTTTTCACTTTTATACAATAGTTTAAAAAAAAAAAAAAAAAGGCTTGCTACAGTGAACAGATAATTTAGTAAATCAGAACCCAAAACTTAAATGCATTAAAATAAATAAATAACCTAATATTTAAAAGTAACTGTACAATATGAAAATATAACAAATACATAAACATTATAATCTAATTTTTTTGTAGAAATAAAAAAAACTGCAATTCTGCATTACATAAACAGTGCAAGAAAAAAAAATTAAATAAGCTTCTGGACTGGGAAGTTAAGTGATTTTAAAATTATCATGCAGACAGCATTTTAAAGCCATGCTGTTGTCTATAATAAGTGTTAAATGGTGTCATTTTTCTTTGAGAGATTGGGTAGCCATTATGCTCACTGTGACAATGCTGCCAAATCTACTTTTCTACAGTACATCATACAGAGGTATTCTGTTGCATTCAAAAAGTGAAACATTACATTTCAAGAGCAAAACCTACATTTTGTTTTCAACACGTTTCTGTTTTACTACATGATTTTGTTTCCATAGGCTTACATTTCCCCCCGCTTAGATGAAAAGCAAAACACATTCTATTATGGACTATAATCAAGAAGCAGTTACTGCCCACTCACCTTTAAAAGTTCATAATTATATTATAAAAATCAATGTTGAAGTTGTGGAGACAAAAAAAGTCAGACCTTTTCCTGCCAAGTGATGCATACAACAGAAGTGTGAAAACAATAGAAGTAAAATTTTCATCTTCTATGTTTATGTGGCTCTAGTTTCAATATATATTGACTTGATTAAGGTGTAGTTCAATTACGTTTCTCTATAAAATAGTCATTGAGGCAAAGACCAAGGAATGCAATTAATACTAAACTGTAAACACATCATTCATATTACTTTGAGTGCACATCAACAACATAGGAGCTCTTCCAATAGACTTTGGCAACAAGACTACAATAGGTCACAGCAGCATGAGTTCACATGGAAGACTGAAAGCACTGCAAAATAATACTAAAAACACCAAGACCTCCTAGCAATCAGAAATTCTGTGACAACTGCCTCTTCTGGCTAAGACACACTTCTGGTCAACTGCTGCTCTTTGAATGCCTAAGTTGTTTGCTTGTTTTAAATAAAGTCTAGTAGTCTTACGTCTCTGTGCTTTATCTGCATAGGTTGCCATTAGCTGCACTCTAACCATTGTAAGTCCAAAGGGTTACAGTTCTGTCTGCAGATGATGATAAGAAGGAAAGATCTTGCGTATGCCACCTGCACTGAATCACTTTGTCTTTGTGTTCCCCTATCACCATAATAGGAAGCTGCTTGGTAAGGTCCCCTAAAAGGATAGAAAGGATAAAAATCATTATCTGTTTAAATGCTTACAAAAAAAGTTTTCTTGGAAATAGCCTACACATGTATTTAGTTTGCTGAACAGAATGCAACCTCATTGGATGGAACATTAAAAGGTATTCACAGAAATAACAAACCCTTCTATTTACATAAGTACCCCATTTTTTCCACATATAGCACACTCGGAACAGAAATATACACACCCTATCTTTGGAAGGCACCAAAAAGGAAAATGATCTCACCGTGGAGTATGGGTAAGCACCTGAGGTTTGGGGTCTCCTAGTCTGACCCCATGCCCTAGGGCCCCGACTGGGCATACTGGGGCTGCATGCTGAAACCGACCCAGCATGTCAGATTTGGCTGTGGATTGACATAATGCACCGGCCTAGTGGGTGATGCCAGGGTCAGCTGACCAGGGGTCTCCTCCAAAAGTCTGGAGATCTGGCTGCAAGGGAACAGTGGCAGAGCTGCAATGGCTCCCAAAGCTGTCAGATCTCTGGATCCCTGGGGAGCTGCATTTCTCACATATAACATGGACCCAAATTTCCTACAGCCGATTAGGTGGACGAAGCAGGGCTGGAAAACATGCATCTTTCATGTGATAAAATATGGTATATTTGTGTTCGAAATAATGATTACCATTCATATTCTATAATCTATAGCAGGGATCTAAAACTCTTTCAACCTCATGGGCTAAATGAAGGGTGAGGAGCTGGTCTGTGAGCTGGATCTGACCCACAGACCAGCCTACAACATGGAGAGGCAATTTGATGCACGCACCATGTGGCCCACACCCTGGAGCAGCCTCATGTATTTTGTGCAGCATGTGCACTGGTTCCAACCCCATGCACTGTATGCAGCATGACCTGAACCAGGACACAAGCTGCACAGGGCCCTCATGCCAGACTGGCCCCACATGCTGTATATGGCATATAGAGCCAGTCTGTGGGTCTAATTCAGATCCAGCTCTGCATGTCACATGCAACATGCACTGGTCCCAGCCCCATGCACTGTGTTCAGCAGTGCACCAGGGCGCATGCAGGGTGCATCCATGTGGGGTGCCCACAACAGGCAGGTCCTGCATGCTGCATCTGACATGTGGAGCCAGTCTATGGCCCTGATCCAGGCCAGCCCTAGATCCAGCATGCAGGGCCAAACCAGCACAGGCACGACATACAGTGCTTGCCCTAGACTGGCCTTGTGTTGCCTTAGCAGCACATACTCAGGCTCTTGTGTCATATGCAGCCCTCGCCAGATGGACTCCACATATCATGTGTGCAGAGCCAGGGCTAGTGCATGCTGCATGCCACACGCTGGTTGTTCCCACAGGCAGCACTGCAGGCTGGATGATAAAAGATCTGGCCCACAGAGCTCTGTTACAGATCAGGGTTGTCAATTAGTATTTTTGATGAGTTAGCATTTATATTGTGCCTAGAAGCCAGACTGAGGCTCACTGCAGCATTCCAGATGCAAATCAATCAATCAATCAATCATCTACTCACTCCAAGTATAAAATACTAATTCATACAAATTTTTCAGTACTATTAAAAATAAGCAGTTCATTAAAACAAGACAAATTCCCTAATCTCTTCTTTCCTTTTTCCCTATTCTCAAAAACAACTTAAATCTGAATTTTGTTGTGTGGGTCTAAATTTTCTCACTGCCTGAAACTTTGGTTCAGTCAGGCAGTAGCAGTGATTTCCCTTATTGCACTTAAAGACACTTAACCAGATTTAGTCGAAAGGCTATAGTCATTCACAATTAAATAGAATCTGTCTGAGAGTTGATGAGACTCACAGGTGGGTATATTCCGAAACGTTTTAGCAGATCTCAGTAATACTTCCTCAGGAACTAGTCTCTATAGATCCAAAATTTCTTACAAGCCTCCAACAGTAAAAAACACAAAAACAAACCATGCTTCATTACTTAATTTTAATATACATCATAGCGGATGGGTTACCTTGCAAGTCCGTCACCTTTATTTTCATATCATAAGATCCTGTGAGCAAATAATGAGCCCCAGGAGAGAAGCGAACAGAACGAACATCACTGGAATGAGGGTGATAGCTCTGTACCATTCGTCCTCCTCTAATATCATATAACATACAGCTGGAATCCTCTTGCCCAGTAGCAAGGAGACGGCCACTAGGATCAACAGCTACTGATGCTACAGCACTGCCTAAAAGAAAAAACATTCTATGTATTAGATTAATGCAGACTTGATGAGATGTTCTACATTCCTTTGGAGTCTAGAAATATTTGAAATGCCTGTAATAAAAAAAGTATTTTTGGTAGGCATCTTGGTGGGGTCACCTGACTCTAGCTGTTTTTCCTGCCTAGTGCAGTGGGGCTGGATCCAATGATCTTGCAAGGTCCCTTCCAGCCCCTTACAATCTATGAACTTCCCATTTAAAAAAAAAAAAAAAATGAATTTATTACAGTGCCTACCTCCTTGTAGAGGGGCCAAGCAGTAGTGACAAAGTTACAGCCAGGCAGGGATAAGCCTGATCCTGCACTTGTCTCTTCTTCCTCCTCATGGCAACTCTCAAAAGATCTAGCAGCACCCCAGTTGAGAATCATGGGTCTAAAGCTGTGGTTATCAACCAGTTGATCTCGATCCACCGGTAGATCTCAGAGCCCCTTGGAGTCAATCTGAGGCTGGAGTGGGGGGCTGTGCGCCTGTGTGCATGCACAGGCGCACCCAGCCCAGCAGGTCAGATCATGGGGGAGGGAAGGGGCGGGGGCTAGATTGAGGCGGTGGGGGGCAATACCTTAGAGGCAGGAGCAGGGGTAAGTTCAGTGGGGCCCTGGCCAAGTGGGACTTACCTGCTGGGGAGGTGCACTCCCCACAATTTTTTCTCCCTCAATCTGCCCCCTCTCTTCGCCTACCCACAGACTTACCTGCTGGGCGGGGGAAAGTGGAGGGGGCAGCGGTGACAGCGATGCACAGTAGATCTTGGGTTGTTTTTAAATGTCAAAGGTGATCTCCTACTTAAAAAGGCTGGAGACCACTGGTCTAAAGTTTTTTTTTTTAACATTCTGTCAATCTACAGGTGAAACAGGGAGACTAATACAAAATAACAAACAAGAGAGACTAAAATAACTGGTAATTGTGCTTTCAGGTGATGTCGGAGGTCTTTATTGAGATATAGCACAGATACACTTCTATAATAAACCTTTTCACTTTTATACAATAGTTTAAAAAAAAAAAAAAAAAAAGGCTTGCTACAGTGAACAGATAATTTAGTAAATCAGAACCCAAAACTTAAATGCATTAAAATAAATAAATAACCTAATATTTAAAAGTAACTGTACAATATGAAAATATAACAAATACATAAACATTATAATCTAATTTTTTTGTAGAAATAAAAAAAACTGCAATTCTGCATTACATAAACAGTGCAAGAAAAAAAAATTAAATAAGCTTCTGGACTGGGAAGTTAAGTGATTTTAAAATTATCATGCAGACAGCATTTTAAAGCCATGCTGTTGTCTATAATAAGTGTTAAATGGTGTCATTTTTCTTTGAGAGATTGGGTAGCCATTATGCTCACTGTGACAATGCTGCCAAATCTACTTTTCTACAGTACATCATACAGAGGTATTCTGTTGCATTCAAAAAGTGAAACATTACATTTCAAGAGCAAAACCTACATTTTGTTTTCAACACGTTTCTGTTTTACTACATGATTTTGTTTCCATAGGCTTACATTTCCCCCCGCTTAGATGAAAAGCAAAACACATTCTATTATGGACTATAATCAAGAAGCAGTTACTGCCCACTCACCTTTAAAAGTTCATAATTATATTATAAAAATCAATGTTGAAGTTGTGGAGACAAAAAAAGTCAGACCTTTTCCTGCCAAGTGATGCATACAACAGAAGTGTGAAAACAATAGAAGTAAAATTTTCATCTTCTATGTTTATGTGGCTCTAGTTTCAATATATATTGACTTGATTAAGGTGTAGTTCAATTACGTTTCTCTATAAAATAGTCATTGAGGCAAAGACCAAGGAATGCAATTAATACTAAACTGTAAACACATCATTCATATTACTTTGAGTGCACATCAACAACATAGGAGCTCTTCCAATAGACTTTGGCAACAAGACTACAATAGGTCACAGCAGCATGAGTTCACATGGAAGACTGAAAGCACTGCAAAATAATACTAAAAACACCAAGACCTCCTAGCAATCAGAAATTCTGTGACAACTGCCTCTTCTGGCTAAGACACACTTCTGGTCAACTGCTGCTCTTTGAATGCCTAAGTTGTTTGCTTGTTTTAAATAAAGTCTAGTAGTCTTACGTCTCTGTGCTTTATCTGCATAGGTTGCCATTAGCTGCACTCTAACCATTGTAAGTCCAAAGGGTTACAGTTCTGTCTGCAGATGATGATAAGAAGGAAAGATCTTGCGTATGCCACCTGCACTGAATCACTTTGTCTTTGTGTTCCCCTATCACCATAATAGGAAGCTGCTTGGTAAGGTCCCCTAAAAGGATAGAAAGGATAAAAATCATTATCTGTTTAAATGCTTACAAAAAAAGTTTTCTTGGAAATAGCCTACACATGTATTTAGTTTGCTGAACAGAATGCAACCTCATTGGATGGAACATTAAAAGGTATTCACAGAAATAACAAACCCTTCTATTTACATAAGTACCCCATTTTTTCCACATATAGCACACTCGGAACAGAAATATACACACCCTATCTTTGGAAGGCACCAAAAAGGAAAATGATCTCACCGTGGAGTATGGGTAAGCACCTGAGGTTTGGGGTCTCCTAGTCTGACCCCATGCCCTAGGGCCCCGACTGGGCATACTGGGGCTGCATGCTGAAACCGACCCAGCATGTCAGATTTGGCTGTGGATTGACATAATGCACCGGCCTAGTGGGTGATGCCAGGGTCAGCTGACCAGGGGTCTCCTCCAAAAGTCTGGAGATCTGGCTGCAAGGGAACAGTGGCAGAGCTGCAATGGCTCCCAAAGCTGTCAGATCTCTGGATCCCTGGGGAGCTGCATTTCTCACATATAACATGGACCCAAATTTCCTACAGCCGATTAGGTGGACGAAGCAGGGCTGGAAAACATGCATCTTTCATGTGATAAAATATGGTATATTTGTGTTCGAAATAATGATTACCATTCATATTCTATAATCTATAGCAGGGATCTAAAACTCTTTCAACCTCATGGGCTAAATGAAGGGTGAGGAGCTGGTCTGTGAGCTGGATCTGACCCACAGACCAGCCTACAACATGGAGAGGCAATTTGATGCACGCACCATGTGGCCCACACCCTGGAGCAGCCTCATGTATTTTGTGCAGCATGTGCACTGGTTCCAACCCCATGCACTGTATGCAGCATGACCTGAACCAGGACACAAGCTGCACAGGGCCCTCATGCCAGACTGGCCCCACATGCTGTATATGGCATATAGAGCCAGTCTGTGGGTCTAATTCAGATCCAGCTCTGCATGTCACATGCAACATGCACTGGTCCCAGCCCCATGCACTGTGTTCAGCAGTGCACCAGGGCGCATGCAGGGTGCATCCATGTGGGGTGCCCACAACAGGCAGGTCCTGCATGCTGCATCTGACATGTGGAGCCAGTCTATGGCCCTGATCCAGGCCAGCCCTAGATCCAGCATGCAGGGCCAAACCAGCACAGGCACGACATACAGTGCTTGCCCTAGACTGGCCTTGTGTTGCCTTAGCAGCACATACTCAGGCTCTTGTGTCATATGCAGCCCTCGCCAGATGGACTCCACATATCATGTGTGCAGAGCCAGGGCTAGTGCATGCTGCATGCCACACGCTGGTTGTTCCCACAGGCAGCACTGCAGGCTGGATGATAAAAGATCTGGCCCACAGAGCTCTGTTACAGATCAGGGTTGTCAATTAGTATTTTTGATGAGTTAGCATTTATATTGTGCCTAGAAGCCAGACTGAGGCTCACTGCAGCATTCCAGATGCAAATCAATCAATCAATCAATCATCTACTCACTCCAAGTATAAAATACTAATTCATACAAATTTTTCAGTACTATTAAAAATAAGCAGTTCATTAAAACAAGACAAATTCCCTAATCTCTTCTTTCCTTTTTCCCTATTCTCAAAAACAACTTAAATCTGAATTTTGTTGTGTGGGTCTAAATTTTCTCACTGCCTGAAACTTTGGTTCAGTCAGGCAGTAGCAGTGATTTCCCTTATTGCACTTAAAGACACTTAACCAGATTTAGTCGAAAGGCTATAGTCATTCACAATTAAATAGAATCTGTCTGAGAGTTGATGAGACTCACAGGTGGGTATATTCCGAAACGTTTTAGCAGATCTCAGTAATACTTCCTCAGGAACTAGTCTCTATAGATCCAAAATTTCTTACAAGCCTCCAACAGTAAAAAACACAAAAACAAACCATGCTTCATTACTTAATTTTAATATACATCATAGCGGATGGGTTACCTTGCAAGTCCGTCACCTTTATTTTCATATCATAAGATCCTGTGAGCAAATAATGAGCCCCAGGAGAGAAGCGAACAGAACGAACATCACTGGAATGAGGGTGATAGCTCTGTACCATTCGTCCTCCTCTAATATCATATAACATACAGCTGGAATCCTCTTGCCCAGTAGCAAGGAGACGGCCACTAGGATCAACAGCTACTGATGCTACAGCACTGCCTAAAAGAAAAAACATTCTATGTATTAGATTAATGCAGACTTGATGAGATGTTCTACATTCCTTTGGAGTCTAGAAATATTTGAAATGCCTGTAATAAAAAAAGTATTTTTGGTAGTTGTAGTAACAAAGAAAATGACATTAAAACCAAGTCTTATTACTTAAATTTTGTCTGACTTGTAATACATAAGCCAAGTACAGACATTTGGGAAGGTTAAGTTGGGTTCAAAATGGCTGCCCAATTTAAAACTTAGCTTGTCCCCATACCGACCTTACATTTACAGACCCAGTCTCAATGACCAGCAAACAGTCTAAACCTGTAACTGTACAGAAGTTCCATGCACATGAACTGATCTAAAAATTGCAGAACCTGGTGTAAGATAAGCCTGGATTTATGCAGTATCAGACTTATTTGATTTAGTCAAACTGGAACAAGGAACTTCTGTACACTTTCCCTGTGCAGCTGCAAGGCTGGGAAAAGCCAGCTACTATAGCCCCAGCCCCAGGGCTGCTCTTTTCATTGCCCCCTCCCACTCCCGACTGGGCTATTTTTTGTCCCCCACTCCCCAGCCCTGACCAGCCAGCCCCCTCAACCCCCGTCCCACAAGCCACCCCAGGTGCAGCTGCTTTTAATCAGCATTCGCTGCTGCCAGAGACAAGCAACTAAGTCCTGGTGGGGAGAAGCAATGGGAGGGATGGGGGTGTAGGTTCACTGTGGGGATGGGGGAAGAAACGACCTTGCAGGTCACGCCTCTCCTTCCACCCCACCTGTAGGTTGTGTCCCGCTATGGGAAGTGCCTGTCTCCCATCCCTGGCAAATCCCCAATCTCCTCCAGCCTGCTGGATCCCCAACCCCCTGGCTAGCCCCCCCATCCTGACTTGCCTGTTATAAGGCAGCCATTTTGAATCAATTTAACCTTCCCCTAACACCCCCGAATATCTGTACTTAGCCATATTAGCTTATTATGAAGTGATAACAAAACTACAGTTAAAGCTGCAATCAGAATTTTTCCAAGACTGTGACTACTTGTTTCACTACAGAAAAAGAAATAGTTAAAAAAATCCAAAAGAATGTAGGAGGGATTTTATTTTCCTACACAGCTAGAACTCAATGTGCAAAGTGTTCAAAAATATTTCAGTGACAGAGATTGTTTTGGGAACCAGTATTCCTCACAACAGTGAACAGTTGTGTTTACTCCATTAATACAGAGACAGTGACATTCTTCCAAAAACTACAAATTTGAAAGTTTAGGTATAAACTAAATTTTGGCAAGTATCAACTATATTTCTGTAATTATTTCAAAGTAAAGGTTAAAAAAACCTTAAAAAACCCATAACATTCAAAATCCTAAACACCCCTCCTATTCCCTCCACCTCTGTCAGCATTAAATTAGTTTCAATTTTATGTTTAAGATAGGAAATTCATTTTCTGTTTTAAAACACCGAAGGTTATGGTGCTTTATAGATAATTTTTGAGGTAAGGAGTCAGAAAGAAAAACATAACCAAGGTTTGAATGGATATGCTGAAGGTACAGTCTTTTTGAAAATGAGCATGTGGGGGTAGAGAAGCAAGGGGAGGCTTGAACAAGTCAATAGTCACCATTTTATAATGCAAGATTCCTGTTTTACTACCTGCTAATGACATGAACCATCTTTAAAATATAGAAGCGTGCAAGACAACAGCACAACTTACCAGTTCCATGAAATGTTGTTCCAACAACACGCACACAACTTGGTACTCTTAGATCCCAGAATCTTACGGTCTTGTCTTGGGATCCAGATGCAATCATCCACCCACTCCAAGTATAAAGTGCTAAAATATGACCTGCATACAAGAATCCTTTTCACTTCACTGGTAAGAATCAAAATTTAAAGACCGATAAACTTTTTTTCACACACAATTCTGAATGCGGTTGCATTTGGAGATTAAATAGTAGCATCAATGCTACACAGTTAGGAGTGTGTTAAATATTCCATTTCAAAAAGAAAAACAGAACAGAATGTTAGGATAGTGTTCCGATTCTCTTCAGAGAGCAAATCTATCAGCAGATATCCATAAGTTTCTATTTATTACCAGTTATTCAACCTTTAGTAAGTATCTGGGTGAGGCCACAAGTGCCTTATTGGAATACCTTCCTTTTAATTGTTAGCCTGAAAAACAAACACAGCCTCCCTGCTCAGTTAGGGCTTAAAGAAGCCATTTGCAAAGTAGGGGTTATAGGACTTGCATGGGACTTAAAGCCCAATTAAATTTTTTTAAAAGCCCCAAACAAACAAAAAACCTCTAAAACACACCTCAGGCTCACGTTGGAAAAGGGGTCATATATGAAAAAAAAAAAGAGACTGGGAACCACTGGTTTAAAGTAAAGTAGATGAGTCTTGTGCTCCAGACACTTTGTGTAATGTAATACTGTAGACAGCCAGAACTGCTGCTAGTAGGAAAGGCATTTTTTATTACAAATACTGTATTTCCTCATATACAAGCACACACCCTTTCCCCACCTCAAAAAACCAGCTGTTGGAAATTGGAGTGCAGTCTATATACCAATGAGAAAGCAAAGGCTGCACATGATTCACAGGGAGAACAAGAAGTAGACTTGGGTTTCTAGCTGCTGATATTCAGTTACTTACTGCAGGGAAAGATCCTTTTTCTTCATTCTGTCTTTCAAAAACAAGGCACACAACTTATGGTGCATGTTGAATGTGAGAAGAAATATAGTATAGCACAGGTCAGACAATAGAGATATAAAAAAAAGCAACAGTAACAAACATACCAGTATGGCCACTCAAAGCATGAAGTCCTTGTCCTCGCTGACAGTCGGTTGTATAAATATTACAGTCCCCTGCTCCAGCACTTATCAGAATAGCACCACCACTTTCTGGTCCTTCCATGAAAGCGAGATCCCGGATTGTCCCATCGTGCATACTGAACTCCAAGTCTGGACCTAAAATAAATTTAAACAAAACCAGGAAAACACTGAAATACACTTTAAATATAAATTAGTTTTGTAATAATTTAAGCGGTTACTCTGACAGTACGGAACGGAGCTAGGATAAAGAGAAACTGGCATCCAAAGCCAAAGGAATGGAGTCCAGGGCTGACTAGATGAGAGAAATGGGACTCTGATGAAGCAAAATTTGGAGAGAAAAGGGGAGTTGGAACAGAGATGGAACCAGGATAGGTTGGAAGGAATGGGGCAGAAAGGGTCCAGTTTTGGGGGAAATAAGGCAGAAGAGTCTATATCCACTACAGCAGGCTTCTTTACAGATTTTGCAATGAATCTCAAGATTCAAGTCTCATACTTTTTTAGTGTCTTATAAGCATCTGTGAAAAGCATCTCATACTCCACGCAGAACTGCACTAGACAGAGATGACAATATATTCCTGCTATTAATTACTCTTAGCTCAAGTGACAAGGGCCTGTGCAATGGATCTAAAGGTTGCACCAATGCAGATTAGCAGTCTGTTAACATTCAAATTGCTATGTAGCAAAACTTGTTTTTACAGTTTGCACTTTAAAAGCTAGGAAATTATACCTATAAAAAAGATGCAGTCAAGCACAAAAAAAAAATATCAGTATTAATATAGCTTGTACAATCTTAATTCCATCCTTTGTGTTGTTTTCCATTAGGCTGTCTTTAAAAAGGAAAGAAAAAGAAAGAAAATAGGATAGGAAGGGACTTAGTTTACATTTCTGCTCCAAGACAAGATCAACTGCATTTAATTTACTTCTGACAATTGTCTGATCTGTTCTAAAAGTCTCTAGTGAAGGAGATTCCACAAGCTCCTTAGGTTATCTATTCTACTGATCAACTATTCTTACAGATAAGATGTTTTTGCTTATGCCTAATCTTTCCTACACTTTAATCCCTTTACTTCTCATTTTACCTCCAGTGAATATGGTGAAAAATGTATTACTTTCCTCTTTAAAGCAACCTTTAGATATTTGAATATTTGTCTACCTTCAGTTCTCTCTCTGTACTACACAAGTCCATTTCCCCTCCAGTTATTATTTCTAGGTTACATTTGCTACATCTTTGATTAATTTTCTTAGCCTGTATCTTTCTTAAAATGCACTACCCAAAACTGAACAAATTACTCCAGGCAATGCCTTGCCACTGCTGAGTAGAGTAAAAGGATTATTTCATACAGCTTACAAATGACACTGGGATTTACATATCCCGTGGTTTGCTTTTTTCACAACAGCTGAGATTGGAAGGTAAAACAAACAAGGCAGATGATTGCAAAAGAAAGGACAGTCTCATCATCTGGGCAATTAGATAACTGAATTCCATCCCCGACTCCTACAACATTCCTACACACGACTTAAATTTGCTGTTACACACAGTCACTAATTTGGTGTTCCTCCTTTGAGGTGCCTCACTTGAAGCTGTTGAGAGCTCCAACTGAAATCAATGGGAGAAGCATTTTGAATATATGAAGGGATATGTAATACTTCTTCTGGGAACCTTGGATTGTAAGCACCCTAAACAGAGCACCCACAATTACTGAATAGTTTTGACCTGAATCATCAAGCCTGTTTGCCACTTGTAAAATGGGGATAATAGCCACTCACATGACAGGAATCCTCAGGGTCTTGAGGAAAAGAAGGAAGGAGAGCTGCAGAATAAGGACCCTGGACTTCAGAAAGACAGACTTCAACTCACTCAGGGAACTCATGAGCAGGATCCTCTGGGAGGCCAGTCTGAGGGGGAAGAGAGTCCAGGAGAACTGGTTGTACTATTAAAGAAACCTTACTAAGGGGTGTAAAATGAACCATCCCAACAGGCAGGAAGACTAGCAAGTATGGCGGAAGACCAGCTTGGCTTAGCAGGGAGCTCTTCAAATGAGCTAAAGCATAAATTGGAAGCTTACAAATGAAAGCTTGGACAACTGCTAGGGAGGAGCATAAGCATACTTATTGGGCATGCAGGGATGAAATCAGGTAAACCAAAGCACAACTGAAGTTGCAGCTAGCCAGGGACATGAAGGGTAACAAGAAGGGTTTCTACAAGTATGTCAGCCACAAGAGGAAGATCAGGGAAAGTGCGGGTCCCTTACTGAATGGGGGAAGCAACACATAATAGTGACAGATGATGCAGGAGAGAATCAATGCCTTTTTCACCTCAGACTTCACAGGCAAGGTCAGCACCCAGACTACTGCACCTGGCAGCGCAGTTTGGGGAAAGAGGCGAGCAAACAGTGGCAAAAGAACAGATTAGGGACTATTTAGGAAAGCTGGATGTGTACAGGTCCACAGAGCTGGACATGATGCAAACAGGGGTGCTGAGGGAGTTGGCTGATCTTGCTGGCCATTATTTTTTTAAAACTCATGGCAATTGGAAGAGGACCTGGATGATTGGAACAAGGCAAAAGCAGTGCCCATCTTTAAGAACAGGAAGAAGGAGAATCCAGGGACCAAACACACCAGGCAGCCTCACCGCATTCCCTGGAAAAATCATGGAGCAAGTCATCAAGGAATTAATTTCTAAGCACTTGGAAGAGAAGGTGACTAGGAACAGTCAGCATGGATTCACCAAGACAAGTCATTCCTGACCAACCTGATGGCCTTCTATGATGAGATGACTGGCTCTGTGGATGTGGGAAGAGCAGTGCACATGATACACCTTGAATTTAGCAAGGCTTTTGATATGGTCTCACAACGTTCTTGCAGGCAAGCTAAGGAAGTACAGGCTGGATGGATGTACTGTAAGGTGGATAGAAAACTGGCTGTATCATTGGGCTCAAAGGGTGGTGAACAATGGCTTGATGTCTAGTTGACAGCTGGTATCAAGTCGAGTGTCCCAGATACTGGTCCTGGAGCCAGTTTTCTTCAAAACTTAACCAATAATCTGGAAGATGGCATAGAGTGCACCCTCAGCAAGTTTTCAGATGACACCAACCTGCATGGAGTAGTAGATATGCTGGAGGGGAGGACTAGGATTGAGAGAGTCCTAGACAAACCAAAAGAAATCTCATGAGATTCATTAAGGACAAGTGAAAGTATTTCACTTAGGATGGAACAATCCCATACACCAGTACAGGCTGGGGACTGACTGGTTAAGCAGAAGCTCTGCAGAGAAGGATTTGGGGGTTACAGTGGACAGTTAGATGAATATGATCCAACAGCGCACCCTTGTTGTGAAGAAGGCTACCAGCATACTGGGCTGCATTAGTAGGAGCATTGCTAGGAGATCAATGGAAATGATTCTTTCCCCTCCCTGTATTTGGCACTGGTGAGGCCATATGTGGAGTACTGTGTCCAGTTTTGGGCCCCCCACTACAGAAAGGATGTGGACAAGTTGGAGAAAGTCCAGTGGAGGGCAACAAAAATGATTAGGGGGCTGGGGCACATGAGTTGAGTAGGGATCCTGGTTTTCTCTTTAAACCCCCCCCCCAAACCCCCACAAATTCTCTGATTAACGCCCCCCCCCCAAAAAAAATCCATGTTTTTCTATGATTAAAATGAAGTGCCACTATCTCTATCCATCAGTTGAATAGAATATTTTACTGATATATTTACAATTTTAAAGTAATTTGGAAGCCTTCCAGTGCCTTTACCACTGTAATAAAATAGATTACAAATACCTATACATTTTGGCATTTGATTTGGGGGTTTATTTTTTTTAATCATGGAAGGAAAAAAAATAAAATAAAATAAAAAAAAATCAGAACTTCCTCTGCCCACTTCACTCACCAGGATGCAGGTCCAGCTGCAGCTGTCCCACCCTACTGCTTTGTGGTGCTGAGAAGCCCTGATATGCAAGTGCCCTACCCATGTCATTGCCCTTAACTTGCAAGCCACAGTCCCCCAGCCCTGCTGGTGCCCCTCACTCCCCACCCACCCACAGCCCCCCCAGGCCCCAAACCTTCCAGAGGGGGCCCCCAACTGCCAGGGCTACAGGGTCAGGGACTCGGGTCTGCAGCTTTCTGTTCCCCCCAGCAGTGCCAGAGCTCCAGCTGCCACCTGTGGGAGGCAGCTGCTGCTGCAGTGGAGTGGAGCCCAGAGCCTGACTCCCCCTCCCCCATGGGCAGCATGGCTGAAACAGAGCCTGGGGGCACAGATGAGGGCTATAGGTTATGGGCTTGGGCCTCCCTTCCCTGCTGCCCTTGTCTTGGGGGCCTCTGCAGCCCAACAAGTGGGAGCCAGCGCAGCAGGGAAAAGCGGAGCTGAGCAGGGAAACTTCCTGCCACCACCATGAGCCTTGTGCCACTATGGTAAGGTGATCCCTGCCCACCTGGCAGCAGTGAGGGGCTCATCTCCGCACCACTGCCCCCACTGCTGCCAGGTGGGTAGGGGGCGCCTCACCATGGTGGCACAAGGCTCATGGCAGCGGCCTTGAGCTTCCCTGGCTGGCCCCACTTTGCCCTGTCACTCCTGGCCCCACTTCGTCCTGCCTGCTAGGCTGTAGAGGTCCTGGGGGCAGGGCAGCAGGGTGGGAAGGCTTGAGCCTGCAGCTGCCTCCACCTGGTGCGCAAGTCTGGGGGGCATGTGCCCCCCATACCCTCCCCAGGAATGCACATAGTAGCAAGGTGCCAGCCCCTACCCCCCCAGATGAACTGCTTGCAGATCCGTCCTCCTCCCCAACCAGGCTCTGCGGCCATGCATTCCAGCCCTGAGCCCCAAACCCCATGCACTGCTCTGGCTAGGCAGCAGCTGCAGCCCTACCCAACTCCCTCCCTCTCCCTCACTATGGGAGCCTCAATCCCCCACCCCGCTCCCACCAGACTTACCTGTGGGAACTGCTCTCCAGGCTGCCAGGAGGCCATGTGCATGTGTACATGCACGTGGCACCTCCTGCCTAACCGCCCTCCTCCCTCTCCCCCCAGCCCCTTGCAGGGTGGAACTCTACCACTCTGCAAGGGAAAACACACTGTTTCCTGGGTTTTTCTCCTTAAAATGAGGAAGTCCAGGTTTTACTGTGTTTTTCCACAGTGAACAGAAAACCCAGATCCCTGGTTAAGGAGAGGCTGAGAAAACTGGGCTTATTTAGTCTGGAGAAGAGAAGACTTGGGGAGGATTTAATAGCAGTCTTCAACTACCTGAAAGGTGGTTCCAAAGAGGATGGAGCTGGATTGTTCTGTGGCAGAGATGACAGACCAAGAAGCAGTGGTCTCGAGATGCAGCAAGGGAAAAAAACTCTCTCACTAGGAGGGTAGTAAAATGCTGGAACAAATTACCCAGAGGGGTTGGAGGTTTTTAAGACCTGGCTAGACGATGCCTTGGCTGGGACGATCTAGTTGGGGATGGTCCTGTTTTGAGCAGGGGGTTAAACTAGATGACCTCCTGAGAGGTCCCTTCCAACCCTAATTTTATGATTCTATATAGACCAGGAATTGAAAAGTTGCACCAATCTGAAGTCCTCAACTAGCAGCATCCTAACTTCCTATTGGGAAGGGAATGACAGGGCTATGACAGGTTAGCTAGGAATAAGTTGATATGCTACTTCTTAGAAAAAAAGCAGTAAACAAAAGAAAAAAAGAGTAGCTTAGGATGGAAAGCCATAAATTTGGCTTGAAGACAGGGAGAGTCAACTTATAGCAGTTAACTGTAAAACTGAGGCTTTTGGGATTCAAATGAATAGGTTCCTCTTCCTAAACTCGGATGAGGAGGTAGGGGGAGGGAATGAAAAATGGGACTATGGAAGCAGAGCATATTAGCAAAGGCCTCTAGAAAGAGAGAGAGAGAGAGTAAAAGAGCTACTGATATATTGGTACTCTGCTTAAGCTTTATTAAAAAGAGCTAGAAATGACTCAAGAACGCCAGAATGTTCTATGGCAGAGCTGTTCAACTTCAAAGTGGCAAGCTCCCGTATCTCACAGGTTGCAGGCTCTGGGCCATACACTGGGCAGGCTGCAGAGGACCTCTTGTCATCTGTAGCCCTCCACACCACATAAGTGGTGCAAGGCCCTCCCCTGTCCACTGCCAGAACCATGCAAGTGAGCAACCCCCTCCCCAGCAATACTCCCCCCTATGCTGCTGCACAAGCTCCTCCCCTGTTGCTACCACCATGCAAGCAGATACCTCTCCCTGCTGCTGCCATTCAAGGAGGACAAGTCCCACCCAAGTTGCACTGCTGCCCATTCAGCAGAGCCAAACTCATCAAGTCTCCACCCACGCTATCCTATGCCAGAGATCCTGGCCCAGCTGCCACAGTAGCTAGGGTAATGGGGAGGAGCAGTGGATGGGCAGGAGCTCTTAAGCTCCCTCCTTGTGGGTTGGATGCAGTCCACAGGCCCCCATTTGGACAGTCCCGTTTCATGGTTTCTATGGTCAAAACATGGTATTTTGTTTCGCACACAACTCAAATGGTTCTGGCATTTGTCAGTAACACAGCCTTCCCAAATGACAATAAAAAGCTTTATACAAGTATACATAATACCCTACCTGTTGCATTACAAGTTTCTGCGTTAAAAGGTAGCACTTTAACATATTTATCATTTGAACCAGTAGCTAACAACTGTCCACAGGGACTCCATGCCACACAATAGATTGATCCTTTATGATGTTTGTTCCTTTTGAAACGAACTACTGGAGGTTTAGGAATGTTATAAGCACTGCAAAAAAAAATAAATAGAAGTTGACTATTTTCCTATTTAGTTGTAAATATAGAATGCATAACCTAAAAGGAAAGTAAATTAAGTTATTTAAATACAACATGAAACCGAAGTAGGCAAAAAAAAAAAATTAAAAAGTGGAACTCTTCTGAAGCACACTTGATGAACAGAGAGACTGATGTTCAAAGCTATATTTTTAATTTACTGCTGGGTTTAAAATTACATGCGTTTAAAACACTTTTAAAGGCACTGTTTCTCCTTAAAAGTTTGCAAACAGAAAATAATTTAAAGCCACAGAAAAAGAAATAAATTATGGTTATTAATGGAACCTCTAGAGCCATTACAAAAATAATGCCAAGTCATTAATATTTTAGTGAAACTACTAGAGCAAGATGCACTCAGGAAATTGGATCCCAGTTGAATGCACAGACAGGTTTGGTTTTTGTTTTTCAACAGACAACAGTAAGTTGAGATGACTAACGGGATTTCACTGCAATAGTGCAGCATTTTGTTACACTACATGGGATCTGTTCCCCAAACAAATACATTTTTCATCTCCTAAAACGTTAGGACTCTCATGTCATAAACTGCATCTGCAAGAGCTGCCTGCATTACTCATCAACATACACGTTTTAAAAAAAGACCAAATAAATTTGATTAAATAACAAAAGGCAGTCCATTTAGAAGCTAACATTTATACACATTAGAGAACAACAGTTCCAATGTCACATTTTTCACAGTTCAATTCCTTTCCACCAAAACCAAGAAACTTTAGAAAAATAATAAAAGCAGGCAAATATTTTTGACTTTAACCTTACTTTAAATATGTTTAATCCTCATTCTGGAAGACTGGGGAGTCTAATTTTTTATATCTGCCCCCTCTCCCCTCAGTCCATCACTCTTTCTCCAATATTTATACTACAGAAATATTTCCCAATGTGCCCCAAAACAGATTTGTAAAGCACAAGCTACTTAAATTACAAGTATTCTTTGTGTAAAAATATGCACACACAAAAAAGAACTGACACACAAAACATGGATGTCTGCTGGTACATCTGTAGGAGATCTGACAGATAAAACTGAGCTTTTACTAAAATGGCTTAATGTTATATTTTTTTCCCCCTCAAACTCTGAAATTAAAACAAAATCAGAGACCTCCTTTTCTAAACTTCCCCACCCCCTGACCCCATAGACACTTATGAATGCCCTTGACCTCAAAGACTACTCATTAAATCATTTGCATAAATGTTTGAAAGACTGAGGCCTAGGGTGGGTAAATAAATCAATATTCTTTCTTAGGCAGGATTGACAAAGTGAGCCACCACAGAATTTAAAGATAAATAATGCTTGAATGATGTTTTCTGTATAATGGTAACATTGTTTTTTTAGGTCATCTTTGAATAAGTTTTGAAAAAACATTGTAGATCTAGACAAAGTTACTGTTGCTTTCAGCCAGCTTCTTCAGTATAATTTCTTGCAGATGACTAATGTTCAGTACATTGATGCAAGAGAGAACTATAATTGTTTTTAGTTACATATTGCTTCCAAAACCTCTCTCACATTATTTCTTGTCTTCCTAAAAAAGTCAACATTTACTCACGGTTAGGGAATGAAAGAACCCCACCCCCCCCAACCAAAAAAAACCCTATTCCCTTTCCCCCGTTACGTTTTTTGGTTGCTTGGACATTAGGAGAAAAAAATAAAGCTTGTGGGAAATGAGTGGAAAATTTTACTAAACTTTTAAGTTTTAGTTCAGTAGGTAAGACAGCAGCATTTTCCAATAACAGCAACAAGTTAATAGGGCAAGAGAAGCAGAGGCCCATAGGAAACGTTACATTTATCATGCACTTAACACGTTAATCACACAAATTGTAACACAGCACACCTTCAGGGAATTTATGGCAGAACAAAATGGCAAACCAGCTATAAAGATGTTCCACATATAACATGGAACTTCTTCGTGGCTGGTTTGTATCCAACTTTAAAATGAATGTGTGGCACATGTCCTAGATCCAGGGCTGCCCCTGCCAATGATCAGGTGACTGTCAGGACTGGGCAGGGGGCAGCCCCAAAGAATGGGATACAGGTGCCTTGTGCTCAATCCTGGGGATCAGGAAGGTAGCAGTGCCAAGTCCTGGGCTACCTCTGTGAACTCTAGTAGGTGGCAACCCTGGATCCTAGATCTGGGACTCCAGGCTACCATCTGCCTGACCCTGTGGAAGCAGTCCAGGGTCCCATGCTCAGACACTGAAAGCCCTGCCACAGTGTAGACAGCAGAGGCTAGGGAGCTCCAAACCCCAGCTGCATGCACGAGCATTTACATGACTGAGACCCAAGGAATTTTATGCCCAGTACCAGAAATCATGTGCTTATGCTATGCGTGTTTGGCAAGGGGCCCCGAGTATCTTTCACTGCTAACAGATCATTTTAAAAACTTGTAATAGAAACTGGAAAAAGAAAAAAATAAGTATAAAAAAGTTTAAAGTACCAGATATCGGGATATTGGCAATGTATCTATGCTTTCTCAGTTTCTAAAAAAAAAAGCTAAATCTTAACTTCTAAACATATAAATTACAATTTCAACAGATTGCAGAAGTACTTTAAAATATTAGCTGATGGGAACAAGAGTCAGGGTGACCAAATATCACATTTACCCAAATATAAGACCACATCAAATTTAAGATGACACCCCAATAATTAGATTCTATATATGGAACCAAGATAAATTTGTTACAACTTTCCATGTATATAATCTAATTGATCAGAGGTTCATCTTAAATTAAATTCCCCCCACCACTTATTGGGGAAAGGACCACCAGAGGGCTATGTAGTTGGGGGGGGGGGAGGGGCAGCCAGCCCCCTTGCCCCCAGCACTTGTTCACCCTTCAGTCTGCCACCTACCACCTGTGCTCCATCCTGCAGCCTCTGCCCCTCCACCTGCTCCCTGCTTCCTACAGCCTCTGTTCCCCCCACTACTTACTGTTAGATGCAGTTGCAACTTCATTCCTTCCCAGGGTACAGAACACATGGAAGCTCTGGCCCCAGCCCAGCCATGAACCTAGTCATGGGGAATGAATGAAGCCATGTGTTTTTATTCGTTTGTTTTTTTTTTAATTTTCCCCCTGTTTCATGTAATCAAACATTTTGTATTATGAACTTTATTTTGTTGATGACATTTGAGGGAAAACAGAAAGTAAACATGAGTGCTGAGGGAATTCACTGATGGGATTGCAGAGCCACTGGCTGTCATCTTTGAAAACTCATGGCAATCAGGAGAGGTCCTGGATGACTAGAAAAGGGAAAAAATATAGTGCCCATAATTAAGAAGAGAAAAAGGATGATCCAGGGAACTCTAGGCCAGTCAGTCTCATCTCAGTTGCTGGAAAAGTCATAGATCAAGTCCTCAAGGAATTAATTTCTAAGCACTTGGAGCAGGTGATTAGGAACAGTCAGCATGGATTCACCAAAGGCAAGTCATACCTGACCAACCTAACTGTCTTTTATGATGAGATCATTGGCTGTGTGGATGCGGGGAGCCCAGTAGATGGGATATAAAACTTGACTTTAGCAAGGCTTTTGATACCGTCTACCACAACATTCTCACAGGCAAGCTAAGGAAATACAGGTTGGATGAATGGACTATAAGGTGGATAGAAAACTGGCTGTATCATTGGTCCTCAGAGGGTAGTAGTCAATGGCTCGATGTCTAGTTGGCAGCCTGTATCAAGTGGAATGCCCAAGGAGGTGGTCCTGGGGCTGGTTTTGTTTAATATCTTCATCAATGTTCTGGAAGATGGCACAGAGTACACCCTCAGGTGTTTGCAGATGACACCAAACGGGGTGGGGGGGAACAGATATCCTGGAGGGCAGATTTAGGATTCAGAGAGCTAGACAAATTGGAAGATTGGGTCAAAAGAAATTTCATGAGGTTCAATGAAGAGAAATGCAAAGACCTGACCTTAGAATGGAAGAATACCATGCACTGGTACAGGCTAGGGACTGACTGGCTAGGCAGCAGCTCTGCAGAAAGGGATCTGGGGGTTAGAATGGACAAGAAGCTGGATACGAGCGAACAGTGTGCCCTTCTGGCCAAGAAGGCTAACGGCATACTGTGCTGCATTGGTAGGAGTGTTGCCAGCAGATCAAGGGAAGTGATTATTCCCCTCTGTTCAGCACTGGTGAGGCCACATGTGGAGTACTTTGTCCAGTTTTGGGCCCCCAGTACAGAAAGGATGTGGACAAATTGGAGGAGAGTTCAGCAGAGGGCAATGAAAATGGTTAGGGGACTGGGGCACATGAGTTATGAGGACAGGTTGAGGGAACTGGGTTTAATTTAGTCTAGAGAAGAGAAGACTAAGAGGGGATATAATAGCAGCCTTCAACTACCCAAAGGGCGATTCCAAACAGGATGGAGCTAGACCAGGGGTGGGCAAAATTGTGGATCTGGCTGGCAGCCAGACTCCATTTCCCATCAGCCCCTGCCCATGTCACTGCAGCCAGTTTCCATGGAGACCCTGGGAACAGTGGGGCCATGACAGTGTGGGGCCAGGGTCTCCATGGAGATAAGCCCCAGCAGCACTGGCAGGGCATGCAGCTGGGCGGGGAGCTGCTCTGGGGCCAGGGCTGGGATCTCGCAGTAGTGACAGTGTGGTCCGGAGCTGGGGAAGAGCTGCGATTTGCTGCCTGCACACTTCTGTCCGGGGTGCATGGGCAGCAGAAGGCAGCTCTACCCCAGCTCTGGACCATGCCGTCACTGCCACAAGTTCCCGGCCCTGGAGCAGCTCCCCGCCCTGCCACACATCCTGCTGGGGCTGGTCTCCATGGAAACCCTGGCCCTGTGCTGTCATGGACCTGCTGCTCCTGGGGTCTCCATGGAAACTGGCAGCAGTGACATGGCTGGGATATGGAGTACATCACAAGCTCAATCCAGCCTGTGGGCTGGACTCTGAGTACAGCCTAGCTCTGGGGTGGGCAGTGGTAGCAGGAGACAGAACAAGGAGCAATGGTCTCAAGTTGCAGCAATGGAAGTTTAGGTTAGATATTAAGAAAAACTCTCTCACTAGGAGGGTAGTAAAAAAACACTGGAACAAGTTACCCAGAGTGATTTTCAAATTTCCATTCTAGGAGGTTTTTAAAACCCAGCTACACAAAGCCTTGGCTAGAATGATCTAGTTGGGGATGGTCATGCTCTGAGAAGGTGGTTAGACTAAATGATCTCCTGAGGTCCTTTCCAACCTTAATTTTCTATGATTCTATGACTCTTAAGCAAGCTGGTAAATTGTCCCAGAAGTATCAGAGGCAAAAATGCACAAAAAATGGCACTTACTACAAATAACTGAATCTATATCACTGGACCTGGTCCAGGAGCAGCAGATGTTACCAGAGTTACTCCTGGGCCAGGCTGGGGCCAGGGCAAGCACATACTTCATGCCCCAGGCTGAAGCAGGAACAGAGCTTGCTGGTTCCAGAGCAAGGGTAAGTGGCAAGTGGGGTAGGGGGCCCAAACCTATGGTACAGAGGCAGTGGGGTGCCAACACAAGGGGGAGCCCCCCAGTGCTTTCCTGGCTGCAGCTGGGGAGAAGTGTGGGGGGGAGCCAGGGAGCAGGAGACAGAAAAAACAGAAACAAATTTAAGATTGACCTTTCATTAATTAGACCCTATTACGAGGAAAATTATGGGGAAAAAATATAAAATTTGTTATGTAAAAAATCTAATTATTGGAAGGTTGTCTTAAGTTCAAGCTTGTCTTGGATTCAAGTGGTTAAGGCAAGTATTTTTTCTGACTATCTAACCCGAAAAAGAAAGTTTTGGCTGGCAGATTTAAGACAAACCAAAGAGGCTAGATGAACTGAGCCATAAGACCTCCTTCTGTGCCTATGGTTTAATGTTCTCAAATAATTTCTTTCACAACGCAACTGTGTTTGAGACACTAAGAAAAACAACACACAATTAGAAAAGTTGTGATACTTTTGGCAAAAGCAAGCAAAAAAACCCAACAAAACCTAGGTGTCATTTGTTTACAAATCCACAAAACGAACACTTAGACAGGCCTTCTTATATTGACTCTATGGTTGTTAGGTTCTTAAAAATACTAAAACATCTGGGTCAACAAGTTAACCAACTAGAGTATGAAAAATCTAAAGACATAAGCAGATCTGATACATCTACAATCATCATTCAATAATAAATGGCAAGTAGTGGAACAGGTGGGACTACAATATAGTAAGCAGCTACCATACATTTCTAATTACCTTGAGTCAATTACTTCTGGATAGGCACACACTCTCAGAGTTTTGGAATTTGAGCCAACAGCATACAAATTCCCACTTGGATGAAAAGCCACAGCTCTGACAGCTTGGGTATCTTCTAGAGTATTAATACAGACAAACTGCTTTTTTGATTTGTCCTCCTGTTGTGGAAAAAAGTGTAACAAACACAATAGTTTTAATAAAGTTTGTAATAGTTTATACATATCAAAGAGCCTGTCAATCTCCATTTTTTTAAATCCACTTGTATCCCAATGTCAAATTCAAATACAACGCTCACATGGTTTCTAAGGAAAATAACAGGTGATACACTTTGATTATTCGTAACACAGGAGTATAGAAACCAGAGTATTATGAAATCTGCAAAAGTTAAGTAGGGAAAAAGACTCCTAAAGTTATTCTATACCTACTTACATGGAAAATTAAAAGAATGATTTGACCTTATTATTTAGTATAGATCTCGAAGGCCTTTTAAAGTTTTATCATCTCGGGGCTAACCAACTTCTGAATAGCTGGTAGATGCACGGTGCAGGCTGTGGACCTGCAGACCACATGCTGTGTGGGCCAGCCCCCCTGAACAGATAGTCCAGCTCCACCCTTCTTCCCTCAAAGTACAAGTAGCTCAGCTCTCTCCTCCTCCCTGAAACACACAGCCCAGCTCCCACCCCCCATACATACACACAGAACAGCTCCATTCTCCTCCTGGCTACCCATCAGGCAGGCAGCACAAATGCACCACTAGGCACAGGTAACCTAGCTCCCTTTGCTGAGCATGAAGCACGTGCAGCCTGGAATCCTCTCCTGCCATGTGTGCAGCACAGGCTGCCTGGCTTCCTCCTGCTGCACTGCCCTACCTCCCCGAATGGAGGCAGGAACCAGAAGCTAGAGGAGGGAGAGAAAGCCTGGAGAACCTGGCTGCTGCTGCAAGAGTGGTAGGAAGGCTGGGAGCCCATGGGTTTCAAACAAGGATGGCTTTGTTTGAGCCATTAAAACAAATTGTATAGATTGTTGAAAACAGGAGTATTTCTATTTTTCCCACCCCTAGATTAGGCACCTGTGAATGGTCCAAACCATTACTGTATTCTACCAGATAGCACAATACATGTTAAAATCACTGATAAATAAGAGGCAAGAATACTTGTGGATAATATCTTTTTATTGGATGACCTGCGTGGTTGGGATAGGTATAAACAAGCTTTCAGGTATTACAATACCCGTCTTCAGGTACGGCAAAGTATCTGAGAAAGGGTACTGTGATATTCAAAACGCTTGTCTATGTTCATCCCAACCATGTAGGTCATCCAATAAAATATACTGTCTACAAGAACTCTTGCCTCTTGCATATTTCCTGGACCATCACAGCAACATCATCACTTCAACATGGATAACTGGAGAGTACATTAATACAGATAGTAAATTAAGGCCAAGGTGTGGCCACCTATTGGACACTATTTTTATCATTATTACAATTTCAATTTAGTGTTCTCTGCCAGGAGGATTACACCTCTATTCTATCATTTTGATTCTATGTGGGGGTAAAGCAGAGATTTTTAAGAATATACCTATTACAAAATTACTTCTGCATTGGTGAACTAGACTATCAGGATCAAAGTCTACAGGTCAGAACTCTGAACTAGAGAACAGGATAATGGAGATAAAAGAAATATGACTGTGTATATCAACAGTCACTTATTAGGGATGGGCATTTCCGTATTTAATTAGAGCGTTGGTTTGCAGTCAGTACAACTAGGAAACTGGAACCACCAAGCAGTCTCCTATTGTTTTCCCAAGCACGCCAGAAAGAAGAAGAAATCTTTAAGACCCAGACAATTATGTAACAGTTCCCTGATGGAAAAGGATGAAACAGATGCCAATATCCTAATTGTAACAGCAGTAGCAGAAATATAATAGTTATCTTAACATCTGGACTACGAGTCAATATCTGGTCATACTTAAGACTCTTACCATGGTATTTATTAGGGGTGCACCGATAGAGATTTTGGGGGCTGATATTCAAGGAGGCATATTGGCCTATACTGATCCGATTTCTGATACCAGCTGGAGGCAAGTGTAAGTCCAGTGTGGTGGAAGGGGAGGGGAGAAAGAAGGGGCGTGGTGAGGGGGGAGATCAATACCCCCCATGGTGAGGGAGGGGGCAGGGGCAGGCGCTGCCCAGGCGGGGTCGGGAGGACCAGAGCCATAGCTGGGGGGAAGCAGCTCCTGCCACTGCTTGTACCCTGGGAAGGCACCGGGGGGGGGGCGGGGGGGGGAAGCCGGCCAGACCTAAATTTCACCGGCGCTTCGCTCCCAGCACTGCTGCCGCCACCTGCTCCTCCAGCTCAACACCCCATCTCCACTGATGTGCCGGGAAGAGCCAGGGCTGTGGCTGGCAGCAGCGGCACTGGGAGCTGAGCTGCAGTGAAGTCTGGGGTGGATGCACCATCCTCCCAGAGCTGCCAGCACCTGCTCCAAGCCCAGCCCCCGCTGAGAAGAGCCCTGCGCAGCCCCAGCTGCAGTCTACCCCACCCTGCCCCATGCAGATCCAGGAGCACATGCCCACCACACCCTCCTAGGGTGC